CTAATGGCAGTAGCACAGAACAGAGCATGGTCATAGGTGATACTCATAAAGTATCATTAAATTTTTTTTAGGAGATGCCATGTCAGATTTCCCCCCCCCCCCCCTACTTTTGGCAAAACGCGATCAATCAGGAGATGTCACGTCAGATGATACTGATATCAAAAGTATCACTGGGCTGATACGGATCAGGCCCATTCTAATTGTGTTGTCCATATAAAAATAATTTCTAGGCTTGTGATACTCTAAAAATATCACCCTTGTACTATGTTTAAGTTACTCAAACAACCCGACCCTTTTTTTTTTTTATATATATATAACTAATATTCCCATAAATATTAATTATTTCTCCACATCACCATTTAATTCAACAACTCACAAAAATCACTAAATCAATCAATTCATTCCGGTTATCCTATTAAACCACCAAATTCAGAAGTATTTCAAATAAATCTTAATTGATTCCAAACTAAAACTAAATTCCAAAAATTATTCAAAATAAACTAGAAAAATACCAATAACAATGCAACCATCAATTCCACATTTATTCAAAAACAAACTGTAAATTCAACTAATAATGATCACGAAAACCAAGTCTTAGATCATCCTCCTCTCCTCATCATGATTCCACGATCACACTTTATCTTTACCTGCACCAAGAAAAGAGATGCATAAGTATTTGAATAAATAATTAGTGAGGCGATCCTTCCATCTACGAGCTATACACACAAACAACTAAGATCGCAACTCAACACATAATTCATGAAAACAAACCAAACCAATGACAATCATCCAATAACACAACCATCTCACGGATTCAATTGTTGGATCCATCAAAATCTAACCTACACATCACAACAAACAAGTTACATAACCCAATCGCTTAGATAAGCTCATGGTCACGCACTCACCTCAGCTTAGGGATGATTTTTGAACAAGAACAACACCACACAACCACAATTGACTTTTTCCTCACGTCAACAGTATCTCAAATCACCCTAATTGCCAACCACAACAATAAAAACATCAACTAAACCCAACTGTAAAATTCTGGAAAAATCACGGAATCGTCAGCCTGAAAGATTAGATCACGAAACGATATCTAACCGTCCACTTTCAAATCCCCCCGTTGGAAAACTTCTGCTAGACGTCCTGAAGCTACCAGAGGATCTGCAACGGATCCAGGAGATGCAACGCGCCCTTGAGGACGAGCGGGATCCCTACCGTGGGCGGGAACTATCGGAACTCGTCGCTTCCCCTCATCAACTAATTAATGAGAGCTTCCGTCGTCAGCTCGAGACCTTTCTTCTTTTTGATTCTGGAATGCTCCCACAAAATTTCATGATAATCGGAAATAGGATTCGCTCGTAATCGTCTTTTAAATAGACACTGGTCCAAATCGGGTCTGAAACAAAAGGTCTCACGAAAACAGATATAACTCTTATAATATTGACTGAAATCAATATCCGCAAACGGCCACAATTAAATATAAGTCTTAGTGTCTTACCTACAATCTCTGAAAATTTCGTCGCTTTTGGAAACGAATTGATATGTCGAAACTCTGTTCTACCAAAACGTGTTCTGACTGCCTCTCTTCTCCTTTCACCCAAACTTCAACCTCTCCTTCCTCTCACAAAAATTAGCTTTCTTTGTCTCTTTTTCTTTTGCAGGTCACGACTAGAGAGGAGGCTGAGGAGGCTGGTGTCTTTATATAGAGAAAAATAGGGTTCAACCAGGATTTTACTAAACCGAGAATTAATTAAACCACCTCTTTTGTTTAATTAATAAATCGGCTCTTTTAGTAACCCAGTTGAAATTGAACCGACTCTACTTCAATTCCCGACATAAACATCCATTTTTATATTATTATTTTTTTGGAACACGGGCGTTACAATTCTCCCCCACTTACCGAGATTCGTCCTCGAATCTTAGTTTACTGTCCATTCTGTAATAATTTCAACTATCATCGTCGCAATGATTGACTCGTCCCTTGACCCATCCGGCCAACATAATCCGATCACAAGGTCATACACTAATGACCTCCGAGGTCTCCATCAAATCACTATGCTTTAGACTCCCATCATAGACTTATTGCTCACAACTCACCTCATACCCTTCCACTCTCAGACGCAAAGTCTTTCGAATTCTGGGTACCCCATAGCACTCCCACTCTCAGGCCACAAAGTCCCTCGAGCTATCGGTATCACACTCATACCACTCTCACTCTGGACCATACGACCTTACGAGCTCTGGGTATATTACTCATACCACTCACACTCTGGGTCACATAATCTTACGAGTTCTGGGTATCATATCCGTACCACTCACACTCTGGGCTATATAACCTTACGAGCTCTAGGTATATAACCATACCACTCACACTCTGGGCTGTATAACCTTACGAGCTCTCGGTACCAGGGAAACTATTCATTCCCTAACGAGTTGTTCAGGACCAAACCGTCCTCCGATCAATCATGTTTAAGTGTCTAAAAGCATCTCTGAACGAAACAACCTTATATGGTTTGCATGCAACATAGCAATACCAGACTTACCACCCATATTCCCACTCCGGAATATCGTCACAACCATGACCACTCTCTTAGGCCATCTGAAACATCTCAGTCACTCAGGGTGTTTCATATACTCTCTTCCCGAGTATAAGTCAAGTTTTTAATTTTTAATTTAAACCTCATGTTTTCCTTCAATTTTCATGACATCACAAGTCATCAATCCATAAGAAATACTCATCTTATTAAAACTCCAAAAATGTATCAATCGTTACAATCATAAACGAATTACATAATGAAATAACCGAAACAAAATACTCAAATTCTGAAATTGGGACCATCGATGATAAGCTCAAGCCTCCGCCTGCTCCTCAAACCACTTCTTGAATCTCGCTTTCATCCTCGCCTCTGGTTCCCAAGTTTCCTCCTCAACACCATCACAATCCCATAAAACCTTGATCATCGAAGTCTTCTTCCGAAGATCCTGCCTGACCTTCCTCTCGAGAACCCTCACTGGCCTCGCCTCTAAGGTCATGTTGGGCTGAAGTTCTGCGGGAATCTTAGCCAACACCTCATCATCCTTATGCAAGCACTTCTTCAGCATCGACACATGGAAAACCTTATGAAATGCATGCATAATCTCCGGTAACTCTAACCGATAAGCAACCGGTCCAACTCGCTCAACAATCCTAAACGGAAACATATACCTCGGACTCAACTTGTTCTCGGTAATGGACCTGGTAGGACCACTCAACATCGCCATCTTGAGATACACTCTATCTCCTACCTCAAACTCAAGCTCTCTCCTCCTCTTATCAGCATAACTCTTTTGCCGATCCTGAGCTTCTTTCATGTTTAGCTTCAAAACCCGAATCTTCTCCGAGGTCTTCTTTACAAAACCTTCATCATAAAGATTCATCTCCCCCACTTGGGTCCAACATAGAGGTGTACGACATGGCCTCCCATACAACGCCTCAAAAGGAGCCATCCCAATACTCGCCTGATAGCTTTTATTATAAGAAAATTCTACCAAGCCCAGATGATCCGCCCAATGACCACCCCAATCCAGAACACACATCCTCAGCAAATCCTCAAGAGTGTAAATGGTCCTTTCAGATTGTCCATCCGTCTGAGGATGATAAGCCGTACTCAGATGCACATTAGTGCCCATCTCCGCCTAGAACGCCCTCTAGAATGCTGAAGTGAACTTAGGATCTCAGTCTGACACTATACTCACTGGTACTCCATGACGTCTCACTACCTCCTGCACATACTTCTTAGGCAAAACCTCCTCCCCATCAGTCTTCTTAATGACCAAAAACTACGCTGACTTCGTCAGCCGATCAACAATAACCCATATAGCATCCTTGGTCCGAGAAGTAGGTAACCCCACCACGAAATCCATCGTAATCATATCCCACTTCCACTCTGGAAGGGGTAAACTCTGCAATAAACCTCTCAGATTCTGGTGCTTAGCCTTCACTAACTAACACACACCGCAAGCTGCAACCCAACTAGCAATATCCTTCTTCATCCTGACCCAGTGGTAATACCGTTTCAGATCCCGGTACATCTTAGTCGCCCCTGGATGAATCGAAAACTTGCTCGCATGAGCCTCACTCAAGATCTCTCGCCTCAAATTCTCGTCTCTAGGCACACATACTCGTCCGTGCACTAGAATCGTCCCATTATCAGAGACCTGATACTCAGAACCCTCAATCTTGGAGTCCCTAATCAGTACCTCATCCAACTGCTGAGCCAATCGCACCCTGCTCAGAAGATCTGCCTGATTAGCTGCTTCCAAACCCAATGGTTCCTGCGAAGTAGCACATAATCTCAACGTACTGATCTCATATACCAATGACTCCATGTCACGCTCTTGAGCCGAAGCCACTCGCTTCTGACTTAAAGCATCAACAACTAAATTAGCTTTTCCAGGATGGTAAGCTATGTCCAGATCATAATCTGCCACCAACTCCATCTATCTCCGCTGTCTCAGATTTAGCTCTGGCTGAGTAAAATGTACTTCAGGCTCTTGTGATCTGTAAACACCTGAACCTTTCCGCCATAAAGATAAGATCTCCAAATCTTCAAGGCAAAAACAATAGCAGCCATCTCAAGATCATGGGTAGGATAGTTGCCCTCATGCTTCCTCAACTGTCGCGAAGCATAGGCAATCACCTTCCCATGCTGCATTAACACACATCCAATACCCACTCTCGATGCATCTGTATCTAAGTTGCATGGAATCAGAAGCGGGTGCGGGGAAGCGAAGCGTTTGGAAGCGTGGAAGCGATTTTTTCAAAAATTTACGATATGGGTACGTTTTGGAAGCGTGTAATATATATATATATATATATATATATATATATATATATATATATATATATATATATATATATATAATCAAATGTGATTAAATAACTCAAATGTGATTAAATAACTCTTGTCTTAAATAAAAGAGATCCAATACTTAATTAAGTTGATTAGAGATTAAAAAAAAAAACATAACGCATAAGTCAAAGATTTGGACCATCGTCTTCCTTTTCATTTTCATCACCATTAGCAAACACAACAGACTCCATCTCTGGTTCATCAAGAGAAAGATCCTCAAACTCAAGTCTTCCAAGATTTATCTCATCCAATGAATCAAACTGGTCACCACCAACATCCCACATATGATTAGGACCATCTTTATAAGTAGAACTCCTTCTAGATAGAAGACGAAGATTAGTATGCACAAATACCAAATCTTCTGCTCTTTGTGGAGCAATCTTGTTTCTTGTTGCCGAATGTATGAATTTGTAAGTGCTCAAATTCCTTTCACAACATGATGATGAAGAAGGTTGTCCAAGCAACTTAAATGCTAAAGCTTGGAGCTTTGGTGCTGAAGCTCCATGAACAGCCCACCATTTTAAAGGTTCTAAGATAAACCTATCATGCATTGCATCAACACTACCAAAATCTTCCAAGCATAAAGAAAAATTAGAGTATTCAACGTTAACCTCTCTCCTTTCATCTTGATCTGGAAAATATCTCATGATGCAATTTTTTCTTTTTCTTGTAACCTCCAAATCTTGATGTGGAGCTTTTCTAATGGTCTCTTCTCCAAGCCACTCTGAACTATAATATCTGCATTCAACAAAAATATACAATTATGATGATGTTTAAATACCAATTAATTTCTATTTCAATTCATAAGACAATATATAAAGTAAAATTCGAAAGGAAAAAATACTTACGTGGGATTCAAAGAATGTGCCATACAATGTAAAGGGGTGTTACTCTTGCTCCAACGTGACGTCAAAATAGATTGCACGGCATTCCAAAAAACTGAGTAGTCATCAAATTCTTTTCTTTCTTTTCTAAAGATAGCCTTCTTCACATTTTGAATCATACTCTCCCACCAATCATAGACTAAATGAAGAGAAGGTCTATCAGTATCAGCAGCTCTAATCACATTATAAATAGGCAATGTGAAAGTTAAAGCATATTCAAGTTCATCCCAAAACATCTCATCTAATATCTTTTTTTTCACCGCAGATGCTTTTGCCACATCATCCTCTTTATAATCATCCCATTTAGGACTAATCACCATTTGTTGCAATCCGGTGTTTATTTTTTTAAATCTCTTAAACATTACAACCGTGGATGCAAACCTGAAAAATAAAGTTTGATAATCTTATATATTGAATTTAAGAATATATGTATTATTTAACTTAACAAAGAAAAAACAAACCTCGTAGAAGCAATTGTAAGAAGTTTAAGATCGCAATGCTCTGTGAACATCACAAGTCTCATTCCATGATTCATGATGAAATTCTTGATCCAAATAACATCCTCACTGAGAGACTTTATCCAATAACAAGCTTCATACACATCTTCATTGTTTCTTGTGGTTTGTAATGGTGAACATATATTCTTCAAAGCAAGATTCAAGGTATGTACCACACATGGAGTCCAGAAGATAGTAGGAAATTTGGTTGAAATTAGTGAACCAGCTTTTACACAATTTGAAGCGTTGTCGGTGACTACTTGAACCACATTTTCATGCCCAATCTCCTTGATGCATTCTATAATCAGATCCGCAATCATCTCGCCAGTTTTTGTTTCACCTTGGCTATTAATCGCCCTTAACATCATTGGACCACTCTCATTTGCAGCAATCAAGTTAAATATCAGTCTTCTTTGTGGATCTGACCAACCATCACTACATACACTAACTCCTTTTTGTTTCCATGTGTTCTTTAAAGGCAACAAGTGCATATCAAGATTCTTTCTTTCTTTCTGAAGAAGTGTAGTCCTCAATGAATTATATCCAGGAGGAACATATCCGGGAAGGTATGATGCACGCGTATATGATTTTTGGTAGTGAGGATTTCTTGCAAGGTTGAAAGATAAATCGCCTGTGTAGAACATTCTAGCTACCTCACCATCACATTGCTCCCTAGCCTCATTCTTAAATGATTTTTCCAAAGGAGTACCCATTCCTTTTATTTTCTTTGGATCAAACCCACTTACAACATGATCTCTATAGCTCATATCATAATCGAGAGAAGAACTAGCTGCATTCCTTGATGACGATGGCAATGGGACTGGTTTAGGAGCTGCACGTTTTATCCTCTCTTTGCAATCTTCAACTAACTTTTTCATGTTGGCTCTTTGTTGAGAAGTAACCTTAGAGCATCCTTTAATTCCCTTAATTCCTTCTTGTACCAGATGAGTCACAACTCTACTATGAGATCCAACATATATTGTCTTGCAAAATTTGCATTTAAACCTCCACGATCCACCCCCTGCTAGCTTCTCAATTTTGTTCACATAAATCCACAAAGGTGCTTTCTCATCCACATTAGACGGATCATCCGTATTTATGTTTTCTTCAGAACGTTGTGAAGAATCTTCAGATGTTGATGTGTTCATGTTTCTGAAAAACAAAGATTTTTTTTTGTTAAAATTTAATAAACAATCAACACACGTAGTCACGTACCATCATCTGTGTTATATCAAATTCAATTTTCTATTTCAAAAGCAGAACACTATCAACAAAATATTCAAGCCACGATTGATATTAAGCTACGATGATAGAAGTATGTTATGAGAAAAGGGATTTAAGGTTTGAATAGTTTGTGTTGTAAGCAATCACTATTCTTTCGTGGTATGAGATTAAATTATTAGCAACTTCTCCACTTATCTTCAAAAACTATAAACAAACAGAGCATTCATTCAAGGAAAACATGAATAATATTATATTAACACTAACAAGTAACAAGTAAAAAAACATAATCTACGGCAAAGTGAGAGAATGAAGAACACCTTGCTTTGCTCTTAGGTCAAGTTCGTGGAGACTGGAGAGTGGAGAGTTGTTGGATTTCACTCTTAAACTCTCAGGTTTGTTTTCTTTTAATTCATTCTCATTTTTCTTACCTTCTTTCAACATTACATACTCATACTTATACTAGATTTCTACTTGCTACAACATGATTACTTAGACTCTAGACATAACAACTTCTACTAGGCCATTCTTCTAGGCTCTAGTTTACAAGCAACCTTAAGTACCTTAACCTTACCTTAGACTACAACCACTCTCAACAACTCACTTAACGCTTAGTTATACTTGGACATTATAATTACTTCTACGAATGGGCTTTAGTTAGACCCATTAGACAACACCTTTCTTCTGTTGGGCCACACCTTAACCACTTAGGCCCACTCCATCTCTTAACTCAAAACACATCTTCTTTTTACGTTGACTCCTTCTTCTTCTTTAGTTGACCTCTCTTCTTCTTCAACCATGACAGCTTCTTCTTCTTGTTCTACTTCGGAACTTCCTTGTTCTTCATCATCACTAACCTAGCTTTCTCTTTTGCAGGGCCAATCAAATGGGTCAATCCCAACAAGAGTTTTGCCAAAGACGAAATTTAGCCACGATTGGTATTCTCTTGTTTAGTAAACTGTAATTACGGTTTTCTAATTTCATATTTAATTAAAAAATACAAAAAATATATCACGCTTCCTAAATATTTCCTTAATAACGATTCCAAAATCAGAATCGCATAAAAATAGAACGCTTCCTAAACGGAATCATAGCTTCCAAAACGCTTCCGATTTCCTTTTTTTTGGAATCGCGCTTCCACCACGCTTCCAGGCACTTCTTGAAGCTTTCGATTCCGTTTTAGCTTCCGAAGCGGGAATCGGACTACGGACGGAGCTTCTGTGCTTCCTAGATCTGTATACACTGCATATGGCTCGCCCTCCTCTAGCAAAGCTAAAACTGTTGTGCTCGTCAACATCGCCTTAAGCTTCGCAAAACTCTCCTCACACTCTGGAGACCACACATAGGGAACATCCTTCCCTGTCAGCTTCGTCATAGCTTGAGCCATACTTGCAAAACCCTTGAAGAATCTCCGATAATACCCCGCTAAGCCAAGAAAACTTCTGATCTCAGTAGCATTCCTCGGTCTTGGCCATTCCCGAATAGTCTGAATCTTCTCTGGATCAACAGACACCCCAGCCGCTGAAATAATGTGTCCTAGGAATCCAATCTCCCGCTGCCAGAAACTACACTTGCTCAACTTAGCGAACAGCTTCTGCTCCTGTAGCTTCTCTAGAACAACTCTCAGGTGTACCTCATGCTCCTCAGAACTCTTAGAATATACCATAATGTCATCAATAAAGATTATCACAAACTCACCAAGGTACTCCTGAAACACACCATTCATCAAACTCATAAATGCTGCTGGTGCATTAGTCAATCCAAACGACATCACCACAAACTCGTAGTGTCCATATCTCGTCCAAAATGTTGTCTTCCGAACATCTGCCTCATCAATCGGAATTTGGTGATAACCTGACGCTAAATCGATCTTGGAGAACCAAGTAGCCCCTCTCAGCGGATCCAACAACTCATCAATCCGTGGTAAAGGGTACTTGTTCTTCACTGTAACTCGGTTAAGTCCCCGGTAATCAATGCATAACCGAAAACTTCCATCTTTCGTCTTCACAAACAACACCGGTGCTCCCCACGGTGAACTACTCGGCTGGATAAAACCCTTACCCAGCAACTCCTCCAGTTGCTTCTTCAGCTCTGCCATCTCTGCATGAGCCATTCTGTAGGGTGCCTTAGATATTGGCATCGTCCCTGGTTCCAACTCTATCGTAAAAGGATCAGACCATGACGGCGGTAACCCCTGCAACGACTGAAACACATCCTCAAACTCTAGAACGACCCGAATATCTCCAACCCCAACTGCTCCAACTGTCTCTGGAGTCATGATTGTCGCTAGATAGGCCTCATAACCTTTTCTGATCATCTTCTCTGCCTGCACGGCCGAGATCACGAGACTCCCAAAAGTCGGCCTCACACCCTGATAGACCAACTTTCTCTTCTCCCTCTCGAACACAACACGCCCTCGGTGACAATCCAGATGTACCACGTAATGCACGAGCCAATCCATGCCCAAGATAACGTCATACAACTCAACTGCACAAATGATCAAATCTGCTGGCAGAGATTCCTCGGCTACTTGTACATCCACGTTTCTGGCTCGACCCTGAATAGCCAGAAACTTACCTCCAGCAACCCTAACGACTCCGAAATACTCGTCGGGTTCTCCCGAAATACCGCCTCGCTCGGCGAACTCTAGAGTCACAAAACAATGTGACGCTCTAGAATCAAACAGCACGTGGGACTCAATACCTCCAATGATTAAGGTTCCTGTGATCGGCCTCGTACTTGGTCCACCCATCTCCCCGATGGAGTACACATGTGGCGCTGCTGCGATCTGCCTCTCCGGTGGTATCGCTGCTGCCGCTGCCACCACTGCCACCTCTCTCTACTACAACTTAGGACACTTGGGCTTTATATGCCCCGCCTCCTTACAGTGAAAACACACCCGAGTATCTGTACCACTCCTCCGAGGACAGCTCGCCACCCTATGGTCCTTGCTTTCGCACCCGAAGCATCCCTAACCGCCCTGGCTAGCCCTATGAGTCTCATCCTTCTTACGCTTATATCCCTGCACCGGCTTACCGCTCTTGCTAGAACTGAACTGCTGCTGAGGCTTCTTTGGCTGAAGGGTTGGGCTAGTCACCACCACCTCGTCCTTCAGACCCTCCTCCAACAACACAGCTGTCTCGACCAACTCCACCACTGTACCGAACAGTTTTACAAGACAACGGTTCCTCAACTCAGCCCGAAGACCTCTCAAAAATCTCCGCACTCGTGCCTGCTCACCCTCCATAGCTCGACCAGCATACACACTGAGACGGTTAAACTCTGCCTCATACTCACGAACCGTCCGGCTCCCCTGAGACAACTCCAAAAACCGCCCTCTAACCGGTGTAACGCCTCTCGAGGAAAGTACTTGGCGTTAAACTCCACCTCAAAGTCCGCCCAGCTCATCCCGCTTGAGCCCTCCTAGCCGCAACACCCCTCCACCAGAGATGTGCATCTGCATGCAGATAGTGGACTGCAAGATCAACCTGGTATCCCTCTGGACACCTAATCGAACGGAAATTCTGTTCCATCTGCATCCTCCACTCATCCGCCTCCTCAGGTTTGGCACCACCCGAAAAGAATTCTGTGCCAATCCTCTGCATCTGCTCCATCATCTTGATGTAAGATGGGAGCTCCTCTGCAACTGCAACCCTCGGTTGCATCTCAGCCACTGGTGGTACTCCCGGAGCTTGTGCTGGTACCCTCTCTGGTAGCCTCTCTAACAGCCTCGTCAAAAAGTATGCAATACGGTCATCTCGGGTCTAAGCAACACCCACTGCCATACCTACAGCCTCCGCTGGAACTCCAGCCACACCGGCACCCCCACCGGCCAAACCCTCAGACCCCTCCCGATCCGCATGCAAACCCCCGTCCTGCTCAACCGTAGCACTCTGTGCCACACTCTCATCCGCTACTAGAGCCCCGCGGCTCCGACCACGTCCCCTTCCACGATCTCTAGCTCCGACATCCAATTGCACTTCCACAAGCATAAACTAAATACACCAAGACATCAGACCAGAAATACAAAAATAACTTACATCTCATTGAAGGCTCGAAGAGGATGATTCTAAGACTCCATGCTCATTCAAATTGACTAACTACTCATAATCAATTTTTCCCAGCATAAACAACCAATGGTTTAACATCACACATCAAGCATCATGAAAATTCAATCAATCCCAATTAAATTTTCTAAACCGTCCTAGGAGCGTAAACGCTCTGATACCAATTGAAACATCCCAACCCCTTTTTTTTTTTATATTTAACTAATATCCACATAAATATTAATTATTTCTCCACATCTCCATTTAATTCAACAACTCACAAAAATCACTAAATCAATCAATTCATTCCGGTTATCCTATTAAACCACCAAATTCAGAAGTATTTCAAATAAATCTTAACCGATTCCAAACTAAAAGTAAATTCCAAAAATTATTCAAAATAAACTAGAAAATTACCAATAACAATGCAACCATCAATTCCACATTTGTTCAAAAACAAACTGTAAATTCAACTAATAATGATCACGAAAACCAAGTCTTAGATCATCCTCCTCTCCTCGTCATGATTCCACGATCACACTTTATCTTTACCTGCACCAACAAAAGAGATGCATAAGTATTTCAATAAATACTTAGTGAGGCGATCCTCCCATCTACGAGATATACACACAAGCAACTAAGATCGCAACTATAACACCCGTGTTCCAAAAATAATAATATAAAAATGGATGTTTATGTCGGGAATTGAAGTAGAGTCGGTTCAATTTCAACTAGTTTACTATAGAGCCGATTTATTAATTAAACAAAAGAGGTGGTTTAATTAATTCTCGGTTTAGTAAAATCCTGGTTTAATCAAATTAAACCAGGGAACCCTATTTTTCTCTATATAAAGACACCAGCCTCCTCTCCTGTGTCGTGACCTGCAAAGAAAAAGAGAGAAAGAGAGCTTGTTAGTGTGAGAGAGAGAGGTTGAAGTTTGGTGAAAGGAGAAGAGAGGTAGACATGACACGTTTTGGTAGAACCGAGTTTTGTCATATCAATTCGTTTCCAAAGGTGACAAAATTTTCAGGGATTGTAGGTAAGACTTATATCTAGTTATAGCTGTTTACAGATATTGATTCGAGTCAATATTCTAAGAGTTATCCCTTTTTTCGTGAGCTCTTCTGTTTCAGATGCGTTTTGGACCAGTTCGTGTTGAAAGAGAGATTTCGAGCGAATCCTTTTTCCGATCGTCACGAAATTTTGTGGGTAGGTTCAGGACACCTAGGGGAAGCTTTTAAACGGTGGGATTGGAAATTGAACAGTTAGAACTCGTTTCGTGGTCCAATGTTTCCATAAGCTGAGGTGAGTGCGTGACCATGACTTGTTTGTTGTGATGTGTAGGTTGGATTTTTGATGGATCCAATAATTGAATCCGTGAGATGGTTGGGTTATTGGATGATTGTCAACACAGAATTCATGAAAACAAACCAAACCAATGACAATCATCCAATAACTCAACCATCTCACGGATTCAATTGTTGGATCCATCAAAATCCAACCTACTATACACATCACAAAAAACAAGTTACATAACCCCAATCGCTTAGATAAGCTCATGGTCACGCACTCACCTCAGCTTAGGGATGATTTTTGAACAAGAACAACACCACACAACCACAATTGACTTTTTCTCACGTCAACAGTATCTCAAATCACCCTAATTACCAACCACAACAATAAAAACATCAATTAAACCCAACTGTAAAATTCTGGAAAAATCGCAGAATCGTCAGCCTGAAATATTGGATCACGAAACGATATCTAACCGTCCACTTTCAAATCCCCCCGTTGAAAAGCTTCTCCTAGACGTCCCAAAGCTAGCCACAAAATTTCGTGATGTTCGGAAAAAAGATTCGCTCGTAATCGTCTTTTAAATAGACACTGGTCCAAATCGCGTATAAAACAAAAGGTCTCACGAAAACAGAGATAAATATTATAATATTGACTGAAATCAATATCCGCAAACGGCCACAATTAGATATAAGTCTTACCTACAATCCCTGAAATTTTCGTCGCCTTTGGAAATGAATTGATATGTCGAAACTCTGTTCTACCAAAACGTGTTCTGACTGCCTCTCTTCTCCTTTCACCCAAACTTCAACCTCTCCTTCCTCTCACAAAACTTAGCTCTCTTTGTCTCTTTTTCTTTTGCAGGTCACGACTAGAGAGGAGGCTGAGGAGGCTGAGGAGGCTGGTGTTTTTATATAGAGAAAAATAGGGTTCCCTGATTTAATTTGATTAAACCAGGATTTTACTAAACCGAGAATTAATTAAAACACCTCTTTTTTTTTAATTAATAAATCGGCTCTTTTAGTAACCCAGTTGAAATTGAACCGACTCTACTTCAATTCTCCCGACATAAACATCCTGTTAACACTGGCGTTACAGTTACAGTATCACCAAATCAAAGTGTCTAGTCACAAACCAAGCAGAAACCTCTTATGTATATAGGGAAATATTTTTAATGAAACTTTAAAATTACAGCGACAGGGTAATAGCGAACGAGATTGTGCAAACGGCCAAACCTAGCATTGCTAAGAAGCCATATATATTTCCTGCAGAACAGAGCAATAGTTAGTTTTCCAATATATTATTGTGTATTAAAAAATCGTTAAAAGTAAATGATATGATTAATTAATTATTCAAGTTAAGAGCGCAAAAATATGCGCATCCAAATCAAGATCCATGATAACAACAAAAATCGATTACAATAACATAAAAACCAATATGGGACAAAATTACTGAAGAAATAAGATGTCAATTGTTGTATACCATAGTTGTAACTGAATATTTAGGCCACCAGCTCAAACAATAAGCTTCCTGTGATTTTACGTGCCCCACAAGCTTCTCTGTCTACTTCACAGCCTCCATCAACGTGAAGAGACTCACAAGAGTTCGCATACTCCGCATTCTACTATCTTCCATTCCTCACGGCCGACAACAAAGTAAAAATCAAACTCGCTAGAAGTTACCTCTGCTTCAACTTCGAATATGTACTGATGCCCCGTGACAAGTGGATTAAGATATTTGTAACCAATGTTGCCATTTTGTAGGTACAAGATGAAAAAACTTCCATGCTTCGCGTTCATATCACCATCCTTCTCGTCACCCGTATATATTAGCAAGACGCAAACCTTAAATCTTAAGGATGTAGGAAGAGGCCTTTCATTTAACTTCACTGTCACGGAATCTCCAACAGCTCTGTAAGTGAAGTATGAAGACACTTCTCGACCAGGTAAGATCGCATATGCACTAGTTGATGTTTGGATGATGAGGTCCCTCGCTTCTTTATTCAGTTTGAAGCAGTTAGCAAAGTTGAGACGAATCCCTGAATTGTGAAAGGAACAATCTAGTCTCTCCAGTGACGCACAATTTTCTGTATCTAGGTCTGATAAGATATCTGGTAGCTGCGGCAGTGATACAAGCTTTTTGCATCCGTAGAGTAAAATTTGATCTAGACGAGATATTCCCTTGACCCATGTAGCAACCTCTTGTAAATCTCCGCTCAAATGTAGACATGTGATGATGTCAAGAGCATGCGGGAATTGATTAAGGTTTTCAAAGTATGACATGCAGAATATATCAAGACGAGGCCATGATCTGATCGATAAAGGCACTTCTTCTATTGCAGTTCCAACAAGATTGAGATATACAATGTTTGTGGAAATCTCTGGAAAGATTTTCAACTGCGTGCAAAAGATGAGATCAAGAACTTTGAGAGATTCCAAGTTGATGTTGATCGGAAGGACCTCCAGCTTTGAGCATCTTGACAAATGCAGCTCTTGCAATTTATGAAGCTTTCCAATTGAGAAGGGGAGCGCCAGTAGATTTGAGCAATCCTGGAGATTCAACTCTTGGAGACTAGTGATATTTCCAATAGAAGAGGGAAGTTCCACGAGACTTGAGCATCCATTAAGATATAATTTATGGAGACTAGTGATATTTCCAATAGAAGAGGGAAGTTTCACGAGACTTGAGCATCCACTAAGATATAATTTGTGGAGACTAGTGATATTTCCAATAGAAGAGGGAAGTTCCACGAGACTTGAGCATCCATTAAGATATAATTTGTGGAGACTAGTGACAGTTCCAAGTGAGGGAGGGATCTCTAGAAGACTTGAACATCCGCTAAGGTCTAACAAGTTGAGATTAGTGACATTCTCGATAGCGGGAATCTTCACAACATTTGAACAATTTTTGAGATTAATTAACTGGAGGTTGATGGCATTTCTGAGAGTGGAAGGAAGCTTCATAAGCCTTGAGCAATTTTCGAGTAACAATTCCCGAAGATTAGTTGCATTCTCAATAGACGGAAGCTCCACAAGATTTGAGCAATTAGAGAGGTTCAATTTCTCGAGTTTGGTTGCATTTCCTACAAAAGAAGGGAGCTTCGCCAGACTTGAACAATCACTAAGATCCAACATCTGGAGATTAACAGCATTTCTGATACACGGGAGCTCCACCAGACTTGAGGCACCACTAAGATCTAATTTCTCAAGATTAACAAGATCCACAATAGATGAAGGAAGCTCAACTAGATTTGAACACCCTTTGAGATACACATTTCGAAGATTAATGGCATTCCCAATAGAGGACGGGAGCCCCACCAAACTTGAGCATTTAGAAAGATCCAATATTCGGAGATTTATGGCATGACCAATAGAGGAGGGGATCTCTACTAGACTTGAGCACCCTCTCAGGTCTAAATCCACGAGACCGGTGGCATTTTCAGTAAAAGAAGGGAGCTCCAACAGGCTTGAGCAACCACCGAGACACAAATAATCGAGATTTGAGAGTTTTCCAATAGAGGATGGAAGTTCCATTAAACTTGAGCAGTTTTCTAGAATCAAGGTTTCAAGATTGGTGGCAGTTGAAAGATCAGGAAGCTTCTTCAAATTTTTAGAATTACTCAACACCATCCACTTGATATTTCTAAGTGGCTACAGGGACAAATAAGAATATGTTGATTAAGTTAGTTCTGGAACACCAAAAACAA